GACGCCTTTACTAGATTCCCCTGAAATGTAAAGCATAGAAACAGTGTCTTTGTATGTTTTTAGCTACAGCAGAAGTGATATTTTGGCAGAGACTTTCATTGTACCTTTGACTCACTCTCTCGAGATAGAATCTCCAGAGCTTCAAGGTGTGACAGACCCTGAAATTCATCAAACAGCATCCCGTAGTGAGCGACCACCTTCTTGTCTGAATTTGCCGAGTCTTTGTCTGCTGACTGCAGCTCCTCTCGCTCTTTCGCCTCCCTCAGCACCTGAGAAACAAAGAGTGACAGAGTTGAGAGAGTGTGACACATGATAAGGGACACGGCTCCAGAAATCTATGTCAGCCACTAAGCTTTAAAGTCTTCATATATATATATATGTTCCCTCTTGTCCATTAAGTTTGAGTGAGATTTTAGTATTTTAGCTTGTTTTTGTATTTACTACCTACCTGAGAGAGAGTGGCGTTCCGTCTCATCAGTCCTTTGGTCTTTTTAAAGCCAGGATCACCTTCTGCTATCACATCCATCGTCTTCTTCCCAATGAACTCAAGAGCATCTAGACCTCCTGTTATCACGGTCTTACCCTGTGAGGAAGCCCAGTTTAAACTTTTCTTTAAAATATGAGCTAAAATAAATTCCTAACTTTTGTAGAGTGAGAACAGTCACACCAACACACAGGTGCTCTCTGGTTTTAAGCATCAGGTTACCGTGCTCTGGACGACGCTACTGAGTGACGACAACATTCCCATCGCACTTCCCACTGCTGACGATTCATCTACTCCTTTGTCGGGCTCCATGCTGGTGCCATCTACAGGAGAAGACACTAACGACATAAAAATCAATGTCCAAGGATTACACGAGAGAAAAAAATAATAATTTAAATGGGTCAATTCAATTAATTTCATTTTCATTTGGACAAATCTTTCCTTCACAAAGCTATGGGACTTGAAGGAACTCAGTAGCCTAAAGATGTTTAAATCAAAATGAAAGTAAAACTCTATTAATTTGCTGCTGTAACATCAGAAACGGAGTACTAAAGCAAATATATCCACTTAGCAATCTACAGGATCAACAATTTTCTGCCACACTCTGCCAGCTCCCGTCTTATCTGAAGTACCGGTGTTGCATTTTGCTTTTATATTAATTTTGAATTCTTGGCAGATCTCCATCAGCCAGTCCTCTCTGACTGAAGTGATCAACATCAACATCATTGGTTCATTATGATGAAAAGTCAAATCGAATGTGCCCATTAAAGTGTTTTGATACATCTTGATCATCTTGACTGGAGAGCCTGGCTTTATTGATCCTCCAGGTTCTAACAAACATTTTTCATATTCACAATAATGTGGCCTTACCCTTCTGTTTCTCTTCTTCCTCCACCTGAGCTGACAGTTCGGTTGGACTGGGGATTCCCAGTGATGTCTCAGCCTTCTCGATCACCTGAGTGATACCTTGGCCTAAACAGACAGAAGACATCAGTACATATAGCAGAGAAGCTTTAACAGTAACAGAATGAAAAAGGCCAAAGCAAGACTACGTTTAAACAACAAATGACTTGGTGTTGTACTATTTTTCAGAGGAGCCAACTGTGTACTTGTAAAGACTGAGTGATGTGTTGGATACTCACCCACAGTGGTCACAGTAGCTGTTGCTGTGGATAAGATGGATTTGCCCCAGCTGCCCCAGTAACCCCAGCCACCCTGAGACACGGTCGACTGATTGGATGTCTGAGAATGAGGACAGAAGGAGAAAGAAGAAAAGACACAAAACAGATGTTGTGAATGAGTAAAACAGAAAGATGACTTCAACAAGTGCCTTTTAGTGGTTTCACAGAAAACCATTACAGATTATGACAAACGCAGCTTGTTTAAAACTCACATTTCACACAAGAATAACTATCCAACACATCAGACCATTTAGTCTAAGCCCATTAGGTTGTTAAATGATCCAATAGATAATTTGATGACATCGCACATCAGCAGGGTCATTAAGAATCTCATGTGAAAGTGTTATTGCACCCACGCTCATCAGGTATCACACTTCCCTGTGAGATAGCTTTACAGTGTCAACGACCAAACACACAAGCTTTTTTTGAAGATGTTTATGTGACATGATATGTTCTGGGAGGCAGAAAGATACTTTTATTCAAGTGGGAAATTTCAGTGTGTTTATGGTTTTTTTTTAAGTGCACTTTAATGAGTAAGGTGAGATTACTTTTGCTGACGTTTGCACAATAAAATAAATATCAGGCTATTGACATGATAGCCTGATATTATTAATATATTATATTATTAATAAAATATCAGGCTATTGATATGCAGGATGAAAAAGAAGTCATGATGGAAATTATGGCTTCAGCTCTTCTCTTTTTGCAATCATCTTTAGTTCTTCGAGTATGAGCAGTACTTCAATTTCTACTACCTCTGCTGGCTGCTCATCCTCTTTTGGAGTCTCCTGAACTTTGGCCGCAGCCTGGGTTTCTGGCCTCCTCCTGGCTTTTCTCGTCGGAGCTACATCAGTGGAGATGTCAGGTGTGGATGGAGAGGAGCTGTCAGGGGTTCGAGCGGGAGAGACATTCTGCTTTTCAGGCGCTGCCTCTGCACCCTCGGCTGCTGCACAAGAAGCTTCACTGTCTGACATGTTACCAAATGTCTCAGTGCATACCTGGAAAGAAAGAGGAGAAAAAAAGGCACTGCATAAACTCTGGCAATAAACAAAATGATTTGCTTGTTGCTTTGGATAGTAGTGGAAATGCCAGGTACTGGTTTGTAGTTAACTCTCTTGTGCACTTCTAACCTCATCACGTGTCAGTCAACCTTTCAACTGAGTCAGTCAACTTCACTTGTCAGTTTAATTTTTTTGTTTAATTATTATTATTATTATTATTATTATTAATAGTAGTAGTAGTAGTGATAGCAGTAGTAGTATTCAGTTTCAATCATGAGTAAATTCAGTTCACCTCCCAGAGGAGTCCGGGTTCCTTTTTTTTTTTCCACACTAACTTAAGCACATTAAAAAAGTACTGAAAATTTTACCTTCATATTATGAATATTTTCAAATTAAAAGTCACTTGATGTACATGGGCTGGGATTTCAATTTGTGTTACTTTTTCAGAATTTTTAAACCTTCATAACTTTATAAGT